AGTGGTTCTTATCGTCAGCTGTTAAACCTTGCCCTAACGGACTGTATTATTATTATTAGGGATGGTAGCTCTTTCCGTAGCTTTTTGAAACCTTGCCCTAACGGACTGTATTATTATTTTATTATTATTATTAGGGATGGTAGCTCTTTCCGTAGCTTTTTCAAACCGTACACAAGTTTAAGTTTTCGTCAGCGTTAAAAGGATCTTCGGACAATGTTTTTCCAGTAAAAGTTTTTCCAGTTTCTAAAAGTTGTCACAGACTTTATGCTGGATAACTTAGTCTCATGTCTTTCTTAGCTTGATATTAAATATATTTTCGCTCTAAAATAAAAAGATTTTAAGCGATATGACCTCCCGACAAACGACAATCTGTTCCTGACTGGAAAACTGAGCAAAAGCAAACATTTGGATCGTATAACCAAGGACTGAGTCACAGGGTAAAGCAGTTGTACGAAAATTTTCGCGTTGCTATATATTTGTGGAGGATGAAAATTTCTAAGTGACCTCTGGTCTATAAACTACATGTCAGTCAACGTTTTAAGCATAAATTTTTAGCCTGCACGAAAAGGCCTTAACCTGAGAGCCTTCAGCATACGGGAAGCAGTCAGACCACGTACACATTACATTCTACTTCCTGCAAGTAATTGCCTTACAGTGTTTCCTGCAAAGCTCAATACAGATGATCTCCAGCAGAGAGGAAGCTTTACAAACACTGGTTGAGATACATATCTTATTAGACATTTTGTTGTGTAGTATCGCTGGGTATTTTTACGAGTTGTGCCGTATTTTGACGAGCCCGTAGCTGGTTTAAATTCACCTCGCTACGTGATTCACTGAAGTCAGGAAGTTAAGTGTCTCAGCAGTTACCTCACACGCACTCATAATGTCACGCTTTGTGCAGTATCTCTCGGCTCTTTGATTCGATCAAGAAGATTATGTTGTATGGAAACATGAATGAGATCATAGCCTGGCTAACCTATCCATTACTGTGATGATCAATGAGACACACGGAAGAAATACAAAAACATTTTAAGTGACAATAAATAAATAATAAATAAATAATGAATAAAGCATTAGATATAATATCACTTTCGTCGTGACCAAAATTCTCTATTAACCCTTTAACTTCCGGAAGTGAATAACATGTAACTTGTCCCCACAATATCCATACATTATTATCCAACTACACCTAGACGAGTACAAATAACACCATAGACGAGTACAAATATCACGCGGTATTTGNCAAATCCATTCCTCTAACTGCCCTCTTAAAACCCGCTAGTGAATTCAACGTCCTAATACGGGAAGGTAGCTTAGCCCATAGCACAGGTCCTAAATACCTAAGGGAATGCCTGCCATAATTAATAGAGTTAAATCTTGGAATAGTAAATTCTTTAACTCTTAAGTTATACACTGTGTGATTTGCTGAAAATAAATCTTGTATATAGCTTGGTGCTAGCTTAAATTTTACTTTATACATGATGGTCGCTATATCTTGCAATCTACGGTTCACTAAGGTGGGCAATTTAGCCCATTCTAACAACTGCCTATAGTTAGCGTTCCAGTCACGGAAAACTGCCCTAAGACCCCTCTCCTGGACATGCTCCAGTTTTCTTGCATCACTTCCCCTACAAAAGTGCCATACGGTACTGCAGTAAGTCAAATAGGGCAAGACTGCAGCCTTATACAGCTGCAGCTTAGCAGTGGTTGGTATCAAGTTGCGCAACCTTACCATTACTCCCACTCTCTGACTAGCTTTTTTGCAAATCTCACTTATGTGGACATTAAAGGTCAATTGATAATCAATGCGTACACCTAATAATTTAATGTTCTGATCGTGGGAAACTCTATTACCGTCTATGTCAATGGCGATAATAGCGCTAAAGTTACAATTTAGGTGATTTTTTTCCTTTTTTGTTTTTGTTTTTGTTTTGTTTTGTTTTGTTTTGGTCTTTTTAACTGTTACAATAACAGTATATCGTCTATCAATATAATTTTATAAAAAGGGAAAAAATTGTCTCCAAGGGCCTGGTGGACCTGACGTACGGGTGGGATCCTTGAAGTGACAGAGTTGAAGTAATTTTTTTTAATATTATTATTTTGGCCGTTGTTTCCTCTTTTTAAAAATTTTCTGTTGCGTTATTGACATTTCGCTTATTTCTGTGAAGTTTAACTATTGGACTGAAGACAGTAAAAGTTTTAGCTGCACTACGGCAAATGCACAACTAAGCTAAAATTGTCTGTCAAACATATGTCTTTGAAACGTCATATATACATTCATCATCAAAAGAATTTGCAGAAGTTTTTCTAATCACTCCTTTGATAAACGTTTCCTTCCAGCTCTTATTCCGTTATGCAAAGCCCTACCGACAAAATTTAAAAAACTGGGTTTCTATCTCAAACAAGCGGTTTTATTTTCTAACAAACAATTTTTTCTTATACACATCTTCTAAGTATCTCTGACTATAAAAATTGACTGCATCGCATTGTTCAGAGTGTGACCTAAAGAAAGTCGATCTGTTTGCTTCAGTGCACCGGAAACTGAGTAAATAAAACGTTTGGATCGTATAACCAAGGATTGAGTCACGGGGTAACGCAGTTGTTGTACGAACATTTCCCGTTGCGATATATTTGTTTAGAATGAAAAATTCTAAGTTAGCTCTTTGCTATAAACTACATATAAATCCACAATTATTTAGCTGAAACTTATAATCTGCACGAAACGAACTTGACCTGTAAGCCTTCAGCAAACGGGAAGCAGTCAGACTGGGTACACGACATATTCTACTTCCTGCAAGTACTTGCCTCACAGTTTTTCCTGCAAAGCTGAACACTCGTGATCTGAAAACATTCAATTTGATTCCTTCAGCAAAGAGAAATATTTATAAACACCCGCTAAAAAAGACTCAATTATTCTGCAAGTTGTTTAAAAAATTTCAAAGGCTAATTGGATTTTTCTGTTTTATTGATTTTCTGAGGAGTTCCCGCATACTTTTACTTCTGGAAATACCAACCTAGAAATGTGGAACTACTGTCCTTTTAAATTCTTCTGAAAATATCTACATATACTTCGATTTGGCTGAAGCTCTCACACGATTCCCTGACGAAGAACTAGTTAAGGACACCTTCTCGTCTTACATGTTTAAATATATTACTAATTCAGATACAAAAAGCGATCTTGAATGAGCTGCAATAATTTATTTTGTAATCAACAAAACTCACCAGGAGCTTTTTGGATCACTTCTATATCTGCGCGGTCGTTAGGCGCCGGCTTGCTCCGTGCATCCCTTTCAAGATCATTTAATCTATTCTTGTGCTGGTTCAACTCCAGTTCAACTCTAATAAACCCGACACAGTAAAACACAATCGACAAAAGTGAAATGATGGAGGCAAAGGAAGGAAAACTTTGCTTTTGAAAAGCCATGTCATTAATTAGTTCAATGATTCAGCGCCAACTGAAGAATCTGTAATCAGTTGCTGCTGGCCGCTACGGGATTCATGAGGTCAGGAAGTTTAATGTTTCAGCAGTTACCTCACACATACCCATAAATGTCACGTTTTCTAATCTATTATTTCTATGGTTTTTCCGAAGCATCAGAGAATTAGGGGAGGGATGTTGCACTCCGCTTTTTGAACTTGATTAGTTGATTAGTTACCGATACCTCTATATGAAGCATCGAAAACAACCCTTTCTTAATGTCTCTCAACGATATCGTGCGCGTGTTTTTTCTAGCTGCTTGTTTTCAGATTATTGTGCCATTCCAAGATCAACATTTCAACAATAATCGTCATCCTGTTGCTACGTACGTGTGCATGTGTAACGTAAAGATTGGGTCACTTGCACGAGAGGAAATAAAAAGAAATCGAAAGAAGCACAGTTGCCTCGTTTTTGTGATTCTCCCTAATGTTGATGTTACTGTTTTTTGTTTGTTTGTTTGTTTTTAGTTTTTCTTCCTTTGTTCTATCAAGATGGTTTGTTGTACACTTTACTGCGATCTTATGAGTGTATAAGAGTCAATGCGCAAATAGAATTAACAAATTAAATTAAAGTGAATTTAATTAAAAATAGAGTACCAATTGTTATTATAATGAGTCATAGTGTGTCAGTTCATTGTTCAACTATTGATCGAATCCCTTCCAAGCTGTTTTAATAGCAGTTCCCGACTACATTTCAATTGTGGATGATGACGACCGGAAATTCTTTAAAGTCAGGTTTGATGTCATCGTCCGAACTGCGCGACTTTTGTCGTCGATTCGATCAGGAAGATTTGATTAATTTGGAAACATTACTAAGATCGCAGAAGGACCTCTCTTTTAATTTGTTAATGCGGTGATAAACAAGAAATACGAAGGAAACATAAAAACATTGCTAGTGATCATGAATAAAGCATTGGATATAATACAACTTTTTGGACGCATCGTGATCAGAAATCTCTATTAGCCTGTTAACTTCCAAAGGTAAATGACATGTAACTTCTCTGTTGAGAACGACTCAATAAATACGCGGTTAAACTCAACGTTTTACTTTATTTTGATTGAGAAACAAAACCTCCATGGCAAATACTCGGTCTGCGCAAGGCAAAAAACTCGAACTAAGTAAAAGTACTTAACATTTGATCCCTGCCACTCATTTCTAAATATGGTACAGTGTAACACGACGTCACGTTCTCCTGAACATTCTCCCTACAATACTTATACATTTCCCGGCAAACAGGTAATGAGAAAACTCAAACTTATCAAGGAGTTTGGCCAATAACCGCAACTTGGTCTGCTTAGGGAATAGTGGAACATTTTTCACTCCCTACTCCAGTTTCGTAATGAGGGAAGAATATACAGACGGCTAAAAGCTAGCATATCTCCCCTCCCCTAGACGATGCACGACTTACTCGAAAGTTGGCGTTAGGAGGGGAGAAAATAGTGCGAGAAGACAGTGTGAGACGATAACTGCGTTGTAGAAATGTAACAAACCGCAACATGCAACAGAATGAAAGAGAAAAACCGTCGTTTAATATTGCAAATGTATTTAACGGCCTTAAGCAAGGGACTTGCCCCCATAGCAGCATCTAAATGGCACCTCTACATTCAATGGTATAATACCGCTTTAACAAACTTACTTTATGATAATGTAAAGTTGAGTAAGTTAGGTCACTAATAACATGGAGTATATCAAGCCAGTATCTAAAGCCTCAATTAGACCTTAGAACCATAGTAACAACCAGTTGAGTTCTAATACTTACATACACTCGAGGATAGAGGGGTAGCTATCGCTTATATAGTATTAAGCTTTAGTAAGACCATTCGCTGGTGGCCAGGCTATACTCAGTGTCAGTGTCAACTGATAACAAAGATAACAAAACTGTCCGTGGCTGGAGTCAGACTCGAGCCCGAGTGACGTTCGAGCCCGAGTCTAGTTCGAGTCACGAGTCAAGTCCTTATCGACTAAATTTTTCCCGTTTTTTACTTTTGGTTTGTTTTATGTATCGAAATGATGCACCAGGGATACAAGAGCATCTAATTTTAGGGTGCTAGTTTTTTATTATCATTATTTACAACTATAAGGATAGTGTATCGCCTATCGATACAATATTTTTACAAAAAGGGAAAAATTAATTTGACTCGAACTTAACTCGTGACTCGAACTTAATTCGAGCTCGACCTTGACTTGTTCTACGGTATGGCTTCCATGGCTGCTGACAGCGGCGACTAAATCTAGTTATGCTGCGAATTGATAAAAGTTTTGCAATGTGTCCAGCGTTTTCTAACGTGCCATTTAAAAGTTTTCTAAACTAGTTCCTGTTAATTCACATTGTTGATTCAGTAATCAAACTGCTTTTTCTTTTCTTCCAATAGCTAAATAGAGTTATGTGAAAGTATCAGTTATGTATTGGGAGTAAAGTCACTAATAGGAGTAAACATATCACAAACAACGAAACATTTAACAACCATAAAGCTTCAGAAAAAACTGTTTTAGACCTGTGTTCTTGAATCGGTAGAATTATTCGAATTTAAGTTTCTGTTAACAGGAGTGAACGAGTGAGTGATATTGAGCCTACGATACCGGCAGGTGGTTTGAACCTAGTTATGTTGTTGTTTCTATGGTGACGGCCTCAGTTTCATTTCTGTGAATTTAAGGGAAAGAGTACGTCTAAAGTGAAACCACCTGGCTCCTCGGCTATCTTTTTGATTTCCGAGATATCTTCCGTTTAGATTGGACGTGTGGCAACCATAGTACCACCACGCGCCAGTATATCTTACAGCACAGTTAGTACTCCCGATAATGTCATTATCTCTGTCTTTTGTGGAAAACGTCATGTTATTATGATGTTCTAACGAATCTCCAGCTGTCCCTGAATATGAACCCACTTCAAGTCGATACCGCGCCTGCTCATCACCAATGTTAAACTTTCCGTATTTTGCATATGCTCTAACTCCATTCCAGTCCTCTAGGTCCACTCGAAGAGAGCTTGATCTAGCAGCCGTCAGTCTGTGGATCTTGTCGTTTCCTAACCAGAACCCGCCAGTAAGCCGACCGAAGCCTATTTTGTAGTCGCGCCATCCCCGATAGAAGTCTACCCGGCCATCCTGTCTTCTCTGAAACACGGTCCAGCCTCCACCGTCAGTGCTCATGTCACAATAAACATTGAATTGTCCTTCACCATCTGGGTTAACAGAGTATACTCCGTTCTGAGTATGGCCTGATTTTAACACATCTGAACAATCTCGATCTGAAATGAGACAAACACTGCTCAGCGATTTGAAGATTTTTGAAAATGAGGTTTAAACGTTCGATACGAATTTATCGCATCCTCCTCGTCCTCTCCCCACTTAGGTTCTCTCATGTGACCTGCTGTAGATCATATTTGCCAGCAGTTTCAATAGAAACATTAGAAAAGTCATGTTCTCCAGTGTCAAAGTAGTAAAATATAGTACTATATCTGTCTCGGCAGCATCAGACTCATTAGTTTTGGAGCAAGGCGTTTTATCTCTACATGTATTTCGCGTGCAAGATATGCGCCGAAACCTTCCGAAGAAAATTTCTGAATTTGAAGTTTGGAAACATGAAACAAACATCGTTTTCTTACAAATTGAGTTTAAAAGATTAAACAGAGAATAAAACTGAGATTTAATCTCCCTCACTTAAGATTTTAACTATTTATCCAATGAAGCTAAATCTCACATCAGAGCAAAAGGAGACCTAAAGAAGTGAAAAAAAACCGTCCCTCGTACTTTGCCAAAATACGTCTGGAATGTCAAGATGGCACGTTTCTTGCAACCTCTACCACGCCCATAAAAGGCATCACCAACCTTTAGGAATTATCTCAACGTAGCTGACAGTGTCTACAGTAAACAATTTTGCACTTGTGGCCACACAAACGTAATATCCCGAGTCTTCCACTTTCAAATCTCTTATAATCAGTGAATCTTGTAACCTTTGGCTCCTTCCCAAAGGCAGTGCTGATCCAAGTCTCTTCCATTTCATGACTGGTTTTGGATCACCAGTGGCGCTGCAATTTAACATCAAAGCGTCGCCGGCAAACGCAATAGTTTTCGCGGGTGGTTTGACAGTGAACTGTGGTAAAGATACCACGATTAAGGCAAATCTCTTTACATCACTTCCTACAAGGTTCGTGGCAGTACATAGGTATGTGTCTGAATCACTTTTACGGACGTTAAGAAGTTTGATCACACTGCTGTTAAGCTGAACCCTCCTATGAGGTAAATGACCACCAAATGACTTGCTCCATGTGACTACAGGCTGTGGATGGCCAGTCACGTGACATATTGGAAAAGTGACGTCACTCCCTTCAACGGCGTGGAGGATCCCAGGGTAAAGAGTAATACGTGGACGAACTGTGAGAATTCAAATTAAGTTATGTCATGGGTGTTTTACTTAGTTCACTACGTATTACTCCACCAAAAGTCAAGTAAAATACATAGATCGGACAGGAGCCCCTAAGCAATGGGCTCCTGGATGGAATTTTTCTTTTGCAAATATATTCAGGTACGAAAACGACATGTCAGCCTCTTCACTAAGAGGTGTTACATGAACAATGGGATGTTCGATCTTTTCGTTCCTTACATTGGCCGAACTCAGTTTAACACGTGAATAAATAAAGGTCGGCGTTACAGCTAAAACAGCCGCCAAAATAAATGGAGATGAATCAGTTTGACACTGACATAACGTTTGTCCTAGCATGCATTTATCCCACTCGTTGATACGTCTTCAGGGAAATGATAAATAAATAAAAAGAGACAAACAAATGTGAAAGTAAGAAATCCTGTTTAAATCTCAGATTCAATTGGTTGGAGACTTCACCCCCATTAATCTATTAATAGGTCTCCTATTCACGTAGCTCGTCTCGGTTTAGTTTCAAGAGAAAAAAAAGAGGAACTTACCGTTGACCTCTAACTGCACTGTAGCCTGATCCTTTCCAAGGATGTTTGTAGCGTAACACCGATACATTCCCGAGTCGTTTCCTGTCACGTTTCTCAACAGCAATGCTTTCCCTGAAACCACTGCTTGACTGAGTTCTGATCCATTGTTCACTTTACCCCACACTGTTGTAGGCGTGGGATTGCCGTTAGTCGAGCACTGAAACAAGGCCGATCTACCTTCGTTAACCGTCAAGGTCGCAGGAGAAACAACTACAGTAGGAGATGAAATGGATTGACCAGGCTCTCCCTTGGTTCCCGGTATGCCTGTCCCTCCTCTTTCTCCTTTCTGCCCTTTGGCTCCAGTCTCTCCCTTTATCCCGAAGGGTCCTTTACTGCCTTGCTTTCCTCTCTTTCCTGGGGATCCCATTTTGCCTCTATCCCCTTTATCTCCAGTTTTCCCTTTCTGTCCTCGTCGCCCTCTATTTCCTTTAGGTCCAGGTGGACCGGGAGGGCCTGGTGGACCTGACGTGCAAGTGGAATCCTTTGAGTGACAGAGTTGAAGTAAAAGTTTGTTGATTTTGGCCATTTTTTCCTCTTCTTGAAAGTCTTCTGTTTTGTTGTCGACATTTCGCTTATTTCTGTTGAGTTTATGGGACTGGATATCTATAGGAAAGACAGTGAAATTTATAGCTTTACATTTCTATCACAAGGGAAAATGCACAACTAACGAAAAATTGTCTGTCAAACATATATCATTAAAACGTCATAATCTATCCATAATCACAAGAATTTCGCAGAATTTTTACTTATTATTCCTTGGATGAACGTTCCTTCCAAACCCTAATTCCTTTTTGAGAACAGCTTCTTTTAAAGGCTAATTAATATTAATTTCTATCCAAGAATGCGAAATCTTTCGGACAAAATTTAAGAGACTGATTTCCTATCTCAAACAAATGTGCTTTTTTTCTTCAACAAACTATTTTTTTTTCCTAAAACGCATTTTCTAATTATCTCCAGCATTTTAAACTGCCGGCTGGTACGGCGTGACAAAGGGCAATAAACGTTTGTAACCTTGGCTTTTGTATATGTGTAACTGCAGATTGTGTGGAGGCAACGTGGACCCCGGACCGAGGCCTTTCTATCACGTTTTTTTCGGGTACTCTTGCCTTGAGGCGTTGTTTGAAATTCAAAAGGCTCTTTCCAAACGATTCTGTAGAAGAGTTCCAAGCAATCTTATTGCTTCGCCTATAATGAAACCATATTTCACGCTTGGTGGGCGGCACGAGGCGAAGTGCGTAAATTGGAAGGTCTCGGTCGGCTTGCGGTGGGTTTTGATATCCAGGATGGAATCTTCTGAAATCTTTCCCCTTTTGACAGAATGGTTCGGGGAGAGTGATTTGGTTCTCTGATATCTCGGCCGTAAATTTCATAGTCGGATGAAAGTATTTAATATTGCTCAAATTACCCCTTTTCCATTGTGGCTTTCAATCAGTAGACTTACACTTTTACGTAGCGATCCTTTTGCAAGAAATTAAAAAAATTGTTGAGTCCCAGTATTCCAAATGAGGTTGTCCTTCCTGGAAAGTTTGACGTTTGTATTCTGCTTTTCGCCGTTTTTGCTTGTAATGCGCGTGTGAGAGTTACCTATTACCCATGTCTCTTGCGATAGAAAGAGGGAATAGACCCTTTTACATATATTTGTCTTTTTCAGAAGGAAAACACCTATGCACATTTTTTTAAAATTGTAATAACAGTAGGTGACTGAATTAACTTGTGATCGTTGGCCTTCAGCGCAACGTGCTCTGCTTCTTTTTAAAGGCAATGGCAATATGACACATACAGCACATAAGGGTGAAAAACCGGAAGAACTCGACCGCTATCGCTAAGAGCGTGACCTTCATAAAATAAACAATTTTTGTTCACTCCTACTTCTTGTGGAATTATTTGTCAACACCAGGCTCAAACTGCGTACCGCCAGAAAGTAGAGTAGAAAACCAGGTAGAAAACTATGTGACGGTCACAGTAAGCAAAATGGCTCTTCTTGGGAAAGTGATAATTGGTAATTCAACGCAGCTAGCATTTTAGGGAGCACGTTTTTGGGGATCAATTATGGGTTAGTAAGGAATGATGAAAAATTAAAGCTTCTTACAGTTATCATTAACTTTCTTAGAATGTCCACGAAAATCTTGGAAGTTGAGTCAACCAGTAACTGTTGTTGTTCTCGGAAAAATAAATTCCTATTTAGTCTCCGCAGACATTTTTCCAAAAAAAATTAAAGTCAACAATGACTGCAAGGTGGAATAACTTCTGATTTCTGCGATTTTCGAAACTGGCAATTTAAAGAATAAAAATTACGTTTTAGAGGTCATTTTACTGTTTACCGCCGTCTTCCATTACAGGAGATATATTGATTTCTACAGTTGAAAACCCTTTTATAGAACTTGAAAAAACTAGCGTGCGAAAAAAAGCTCAAGAAAGGGAACCTGAATTATTACACCGAACGTTAAGGGTAGGAAAATTTTTTGTCCTTCAATAGCAATACATTTCGAAATCTCATTTCATATGAGTCTCATATTTAATTTCCATGATTATCCGTTTGGAAACGGATAATTATTAAGCCTAATAATAATCCGCCACGAACGACATCATACTTCCCAACGGATAATTATTCCACTTTATTATATAGATACTGATGAAATACCAGGATTTCTCCTTTTACTAAAAAATCATATCTTCACCGCGCGCAGTGAAGATACTATTTTTATCTTTCACGTGTGAGGATATTGGTGTGGCCATGGTTACCAACCTAATTACCCAACTGCTGTTTCGAAAATGAATAAAAAAAGTTGTCTTTTATGTGGAATTTCACCAGTATCTTTATAACAAACAGAAGATTACATGGCCGCTTGGAGATACGAATTTTATCTTCTCGTGCTGAAAGTATCTCTCACGAGTGAGCGCAGCGAACAAGTGAGAGATACTTTGAGCACGAGAAGATAAAATTCGTATCCCTGCGGGGCCAAGTAATATCCTCTATATGTCTTAATGATAATCCGCCACGAACGAGATCAATATTCGCAGCCGATATGTATCAATGTCGTAATAATCCGATCACGTATCAGTAATTTCACGTATCAGTAGAACCAGTAATTTTGCTAACTATGGCACGCCATAGTTATACCTAAATACGAGGCATTGGAAACAACCTTTTACTATGTCTGTTGAAACTTCAAATATGAGACAGAGTTATTCTGGCTGTTTAAATATATCAATATTAATTGACTCTCCTTTTTCGACAAGAATCGAGACTCCTATCAAACTTCGGTTTTTTTTTTTTTCTCTTCGGGAGGTAAGGAAACTAATGCAGCCACTGAAAGCTTTCAAGTATTCGGTTTCCAATAGCCAACTGCACTTTGTTTAGGCATTGAAACGGAAATATTTACATTGCTCCTTATTAGAGTACAAATCATAACTGATCGGCATATGCATTTACTTGTCTACACCACGCCAAAAAAGCTAAACTTTGAACATTTAAAACATATCGTATTCGGCAATCCTCGTACTAAATCGATCACCACTAAGCCAGACAATGTTTACGAGCGATGCTGTTAATGCATACCGGAACTCCACGAGAAAATGAAAGTGTCGACCAGAAACTTTGCTCGGAGGATTGACTTAGGGATAATTTTTTCATATCAGACCAGTCTCAAAATTCCTGTTTACTAACGCGGTCACAGGCTGCAAGAGGTTATTGATAAAAAAAAGTTAACGTTGTTTCATCCAGTAAACCGTCGGGGATGGATGCGTCGCTCGTTCGATTCAGTCATTTCTTGTAATAAACTATACTGCTAAGTTTGTCCAAAATTGAAGACAACTTACCAGAAACAGCTTTGCTGATCCGGACATGTGGCTCGTTTGCAGGCGATGTTATCTCCGCCACGCTTTCAAGATCGTGTATTCTTTCCTTGTGATCGTTCAACTCCAGTTCAACTCCAATAAACCCAACACAGTAAAACACAATCGACAAAAGTGAAATGATGGAAGCAAAGGAAGGAAAACTTTGCTTTTGAGTGGTCATTCTTGCTGCTGTTTCAACTCTTTCTCACTAGAATCACGAGCTTATTTTGGGAACATGCCAATTTCTCTGTTACTGATACTTCTTTCCACTGAAGCTGCAGAGCAAAGGTCACTTCCGTCTCTGCGAGTGTCATTTTAAACTTCCTGTTTTCACACGATAAACAAACTGACGTTGACTGTTCAGTGTTAAGCAAACTCGGTTCACTTTAAGTTCTTGAGGGCTGAGCCCTGGCCAAAAATTGCGATAAGATCTGCTAAGAGTGTAGAAGAACTTTTTTAATTCCATACAACAATCTCGCAATGACGCAAAAATTGCTAAATAAAAGTCTCCCCCCCTCTAAAAGAAAACGCACGAGTTATTCGAAAGCTGAAGGAAGTTTAGTGTCTCAGTAAGTGGGAATTACGAAGGAAATATTAAAACATCAAGGTATAGTGATCATGAATAAAGTATAGGATAATATCAATTTTTAAACGCATCATCGTCATCATTTTTATATTACTTTCATGTGTTTTGAGTGTCAACAAACTTTTTCTCAGAAAATTCCCTGTCGAAGAATTGGTCAAGGACTCCTCACCATCTCACTTTTTTAGATATGTCAGTAACACAGATATGAAGACAGATTTTGAATGAGGGGGGGGGGGACTCGGGAGGACTTGCAATCAAATATTGGGAGTGAAAGGGTTAACTACAGTTAAACGTTGATGCATCGATGGATTTTCTACTTCTCTAGGCACGGTGTAAATATCCTTTTTCAGTACTGAATCACTCTGGACCGTAGGCTCTAAATACAAGAGGAGAACAACCCCATTCGGCTCAGTTGAGATTTCCAGAACACAACGCGTTGAAAATTTTATTATTCAGCAGTTCTTTTTTGCGACCGTCATACGGCTCTTTATACTTTTTTTACGTATTACATTCAGATGTTTTGTAAGTCAACTAATTTACCGGGTGGTCTGCTTGTGCTAAGATGGTCTTGTGAGTGGATCTGGTTTATAACTCACACCGAAAATAGATTCATTCTAAAAGATGACATACCGATTTTGTTATCATTTATTCTCATTTTATGCTGGTTCAAATCCAGTTTAACTCTAATAAACCCGACACAATAGGGCACAATCGACAAAACTTTAATGATGTAAGAAACGAGGGAAAACTTTGCCTTTGTTACGGTGCAAAATTCACATCCGTCTTGGCAAGTGTCATGATGAACCTCTTGTTTTTATAATAACAAAGTAACCTTGATATTCTGTGTTAAGCAAACTCGATCCTGGCTCAATTTTTAGGGGCTGAGCATGACAGGACGGAAAACACTTGCACTGGAAGTACCTCCCGTGGTCCCATACAAAGCCTTAGAAAACTTTTCTAAGGCTTTGTATGGGCTTTTTTTCAGGTGTATCTGGTAGCGTTCCATGTTGCTTCATTACGCTTACCGCAAGATGTCATAATCTCGCCGCTTTGTGACAGAAATGTCGTTTAACTAAAAGTAAACCAGAACACCTGCCAAACTGCCCGATTTTTCTCTTGCGTGCTCCCGAAAATCTACTGCGCCAACACTTATCACCGGTAAACCCCGTTCTTCTATCCCTGTACCGACCTCCTCACACACTCCCATATTGGTCACTCCTTACAACCCAGAAGAGGTGGAAACTCAGGCTACTCTCGAACTGAAAAGAAAATCATCATCATCTGAACTCTCGACCCCTACCTCAGAGTGGAAAAAGGGGAGAAACAGGTCGAGGAAACACAAGTAAGCTTATAATTCTTAAGTGAGTCTTTTTTCCAAGAATCTTCAAGTGAAATGTGTCTTTTTTCCATGAATCGTTCAAAACTTTAACTATCAATGCAAGGGGGCTAGCAAACCCCCTTACTTACAATTTCTTGTTTGATTTGATCGAGAAGTCCAACTGCGATGTCTGTTTTGTACAAGAAACATTAATTCATTCTGAATCTACTCTCAAATCTCTATCCCGTAGATGGCTGGGCCGTAGTTTTTGGTCCCCTGCCTCTGGGAAACAGGGTGGTGTCAGTGTTTTGATCAGGTGCAACGACTATGATATTAATCTAGTCAATATATACGCTCCTACCAATCCTACCTAACGGAAAAGTTTTTTGTTTCAATTCATGAATTTTTCATTCCCTCCTCTGCGACTATGATGTTAGGAGATTTTAATTGTTACGACAACGCTCTCGATAAATTTGGTGGGAATATCCCTATACACAAAGACTACGAATCTTTAAAAAGTGATTTCGCGCTTTCAGATGTTTGGCGAAATTTGCATCCAAGATCAAGAGAATTTACGTGGCTTACATATGATGCACGATCCTCGCAGTAGATAGCGCTATTTAAGCAATAGCGAGAATCAGACCTGAAAAAAATCAGGCCTGTACGGGATTCAAACTACTGACCCCTGCGATACTAGTGCAGCGCTCTACCAATTGAGCTAACAAGCCAACTGGGAGCAGGCCGTTAAGTTGATTCCTAATAAACCCGTGAAAGTGATAAATGAGATACAATGAAATATATGAAGCTCACATATTTTGTACTGCGGTATTAGATACATATGATGCACGATCCTCGCAGAAGATAGCGCTATTTAAGCATTAGCGAAAATCAGACCTGAAAAAAATCAGGCCTGTACGGGACTCGAACCACTGA